CAGTGTTAAATCTCAAATCCTGACTAACCAGATGATGAAAACGTCAATAAGTTGCAAAAATCATTAGAAAAGCCCCTGTATTTGAATGTGTAGACATGGCAGTGGAAGTAAACTGGCGGTGATTTTAAGGGGTTTTGTTGTGGCGGTATATAGTGGAGGTGGGCCCGTCGGGTCAGCGAGGTCTCCAGAGAGATCACTTCTATCTGAACTTTATCGGCTGAAACATCTGTTGTAATTTCTGTCAAATGAAACTTTTATTACCTGATCATTAAAGTCCTGGCGATGGAAAAAACAGATGTCGGCGCTGCTCTTACGACCGCTGTTTTTTATGGTGTTGGTGAAAATTGAACCAAAGGGAGGCCTCCGCCCCACCTCCATTATAAAATTAAGGGGGACATGATTTCCACATTCCACGGACAAGAGGGGCACTAGTGGGGCGCTGTGAGAGAGGAGCAACCTGTGTGTGTGGGGATAGAGGACTAGCACACACACTGCACTAACAGAACCACCACAGACCGAGAGAGAGAGAGAGAGAGAGAGAGAGAGAGAGAGAGAGAGAGAGAGAGAGAGAGAGAGAGAGAGAGAGAGAGAGAGAGAGAGAGAGAGAGAGAGAGAGAGAGAGAGAGAGAGAGAGAGTTTATTAGTTCAGAAGAATGGCCTGCTGTGAAGGGCTCTACTGTGTTTATTAGTGCCGCTCCAAAACTCAAGTACATTAAAGGAGTTGTTCTTTATGACTTTGACTTCAGTCATGTGAAAAAGCTGCCACCACATTGATAGGGTGTTGCTATGTGGTTTCTCTGGCCTGTTTACACCTGGTAAGAAGCGTTTTAGTCAATCAGATCACATGGACGATGCTAAATACAGGTGTAAACGGGGTCTAAAACGTTTTGAGCTTGTCCACTTTCGACCACTTCCAGAGGTCGTCGAAAACGCAGTCGACCGGATTGCTATCGTAGTGTAAACGCTCATGTGGTCGAATGCAGCCCGTTCTCATCCTTTGGCGTCATACATGTGACGCTTTGGACATTTCGTTGAAATCTTACGCACATGGCATCCTTTAGCATCAATATGAGACGCAGAACCCAAGGCGTCATACACGTGACGCTCGTCTAAATCCAACGCACATGGCATCGTTTAGCGTGAATATGAGACCCAAGGCGTCATAACCGTACCCTACCCCAGACCTAAACCTACCCATAACAGTGCGTGTTATATTGACGCTAAAGAATGCCATGTGCGTAAGATTTCGACGAAATGTCATATGGCGTCACATATGACGCCAAAGGATGAGAATGCGTTCAAACAGCCACAAAAGACCATACTCTCCACCTTACTGACTTAATGCGTGAACATTATCACCCTGTAGCCCAAGACTGGTTGCAGGGCTGAGCCTGGTTAGTACCTGGATGGGAGACCTTCTGAGAAAACCAGGTTGCTGCTGGAAGAGGTGTTAGTGAGGCCAGCAGGGGGCGCTCACCCTGTGGTCTGTGTGGGTCCTAACGCCCCAGTATAGTGACTGGGACACTAGAGCACCGTCCTTCGGATGAGACGTTAAACCGAGGTCCTGACTCTCTGTGGTCATTAAAAACCCCAGGATGTCGGGGTGTAGGGGTGTAACCCCGGCATCCTGGCCAAATTTGCCCAGTGGCCTCTGTCCATCATGGCCTCCTAATCATCCCCATATATATATATATATATATATATATATATATACACTGATTGGCTTCATCACTCTGTCTCCTCTCCACCAGTAAGCTGGTGTGCGGTGAGCGTTCTGGCGCACTATGGCTGCCGTCGCATCATCCAAGTGGATGCTGCACATTGGTGGTGGTTGAGGAGATTCCCCCTTCCATGTGAAGCGCTTTGAGTGCCTAGAAAAGCACTATATAAATGTAATGAATTATTATTATTATTATTATGAGAAGAGCGCTGGCCAGACGGGATTTTGGTCTGAAGACAATAAACGTCCCATCACGACTCTCACCATTCCTGCTTTCTAACACACACTCACAGCGTTCAGCTGGTCTTGAGTCTGTCAGAGAAACTAAAGCTGATGCTGTCCGTGTGTTTTTCTGTCGTCTCCGGGTGAGTTCATATGTAAATTATGCAAGCATATTTTGTCCATTAGATCGAAATATCTGAAAAAAACACATCCATTTACCCGCCCCTCAAATAAATCAAGACAAAAGTGGTTGAAAGTGGACAAAAAAGACCAAACAATAAAACACCAGGGATTGTGTCTCCCTCGTCTACTTGTGATCCAGTCGACCAAAACGCATCTTAATAACAGTGTTTGTAGCATTGCTATGTGTTTGCCAGGCAATTGCTGTTCTAAATCTTTTTTGGGGGTGTTACTAAGGTGTTTCCAGGCAGTTACCAATGTGTTCTGGGTGCTACAGTTATAGTTGCCTCAAAAGTCAAAAGAGTCCTCAAGATGAAAACCCTCTAAAGAAGAGGTGAAAACAGTCAGATTAGTAAAGTAACAACACACCTCTCATCAACAAGACACAAAAAATCGCATTAAATGTGATCACAATAAATGTGATGCTCAGCTTTTAACCTAAATATATTCACTACTGCTTCTAGGTTTTAATATTAGTGTTGGCATCAGCTGAATGCAGACTTAATAGAAACGGACTTCATCTCTTTTGGGGAATATTTACATGATGTTTTGGAAATGGGTTCTAGTTCTTTGCTCTTGAGGAATGGTAGACAGAATTGAACTGGTGAATTGGGAGGAAACTCTCCCTGATCTCTTGCTGTTCGCAGCGTGTTTGACCGGCTCAACAAACTCCAAGAGAGAAATAAAGATAAAGACAATGGCTGCTTTTATTTTCTTCTTTAGCCGCACATTCCACAGAAAGCATGGAGATCGGCCACCCTCCTCGCAAAAAAAATGAATCACGGGCAGACAAATTTGTGTCTGGGTTGCGTTACTTAACTACAGTCATAGGTAAGGTTACCGGATTTTTCCTCATCTATGCTCTCGTTCGCCTTTATTCAGACTCTTTCTACCTTTCTCTCTTGGCAGCCAGACTGTTGCCATCTCTGGAAATAAATCACACACACACACACAAACACACACACACACACACACACACACACACACACACACACACATAACAAGATGGTGGTAATGTTTCTTCTAAATTTACAGTAATAGTGTGAACTTGATTTGACCCGCAGATATAGGGTGTTGCTACAGCGACATCCACAACAATGTGATTTTAAAGGTGATTTCTGTCTTTGATTGAATTACATTACACCGGGGCTAGTCGTCACACTTTCTGTGCCGGTTTATTTTTGAAACTCAGTTCCTGTATAGACACAAACCTTACGGTTTTAACTGCAAAAAGCTACATTTTAAAAATACCATGATTTACGAACTCAACATATAAAGCTACTAATAGTGAAAACCAGCATTTGTCTAATAAGACGTTTGATTTAAAGTTTCTGTGGTTGCTGACAAATGTGACAACTTCCTGTGTGACAACTAGCCCCGCTCTTCTCTTTTGTGTTTTGGGATGCTTCTTTCAAACATTAGTTTTGTGAACTGGTGAGAGAATAAACATATATGACACATAATACAGCGTTAAGGCATTTTCAAAATCACACACTAGACAACAAGTCAAGTCATCTTCATTTATATAGCGCTTTTTAACAATGTAAATTGTTCCAAAACGGCTTTACAGTGATCATAGGAAATGAAAGTAACAGATTGTTTTGGCTTGATAGCAGCTCTAGAATAAAGTTATTTTCCAGCTAAAGATAGTGTTGATTGATTCACTTCCATCACACTAATCATTTATCAGATTATTTGCAAGCCTTGTAAACTACTACAAATCTGGAATGTAGTGGGAAACTATACCGAGAAAAAAAAAAAAAAAAGGAAATGTCATTAACATAACCGGCATGACCTGTCCTGAATATTTTGTTCATTCCCATAATGTTCACCTAACACAATAACTGCAACAAAGAACACAAGTCATTAATAGATTTTTTTTCAACTTCCTTAAAGAGACAGGACATCTACATGTAGTTAAATAGTTAAATAGTTGTACAATATTTATAAACGATATTTTTTAATGAGGGTGACCAAAAAATCTAATTTGTTATGTTATATATACATTTAACTACATACTTATGAACACTTGAGTACGAAATGGATTTAAAAACACACCGCTACTCCTCCCATGCAAATCAAAATGTAATGTACATGTATCTGTCATACCTGGGGACATTTATAAGGATATGATTGATTGATATATGAGCAGATTGAGATGATTTATCCTTCTCTTTTAACTGCTTCTGAAATGAAACAATCATTACTCGCTCTAAAAAGGAACTCAACAAAATAATTTTTGTTTATTGTTTATTTTTTAGTATTGGATAAAATGCATGCTGTGTATTTGACTCCACTTTGTAACACCAATTTGTGTAGTCATACATTACCTGAAATGCACAATGAAAACTGCCATCATAATAAAGGACTAAATGATCAACTTTTAAATGTGATCATCTGCCACTTTCTTTGGAACGTTCTGACATTTATGGAGTTATCTCCTTCACAAACACACATTTTTATTTTTATTTGTCTATGATGGACCTTCCAATGATAGCCTATCTATTGTTTTTTTTACAGAGCTAATAATATTTAATTTCCCCTACACTTCAACACAAACCTTTCTGTATTTTTACGTTTATTAAGCTGTGGTTCGTTCGTTGTAGATTCTGATTCACTTTTTGCATTTTTAAAAACATAAAAAAAATAAGGCTGAATAAGTCATTCATTTTACGTCAGTTTTCCAAGTTTCTCTATATTTGTGAGGTTGTAAAGTACATTTAAGATAACGCACACACACACACACACACACACAGAGAGAGAGAGAGAGAGAGAGAGAGAGAGAGAGAGAGAGAGAGAGAGAGAGAGAGAGAGAGAGAGAGAGAGAGAGAGAGCAGGATGGTCTCGTTGTGGTGAAGCTCCACGCGCGTGTAGAGGACATGAGCAGGAGGAGGAGGAACTTCAGGTCGCTCATTTATTGAACGTTTCTTCACATTAGTGCACTTGAGTGCGCCACACACGCAGGGAGCGACACACACACACCGCAGAGCTCTCGAACACACGATCGTAACCGCTTGATTTGAGATTGAAAGCTTCGAGCGTCGGGATGCGTCATTATATCCGTGTGTTTGCGAGTTGATCAACACACTTCACGCAGGATGGAGAGGAAACTTTGCTGAACTTACAGCTGATCTTTCTTTTGCTTTGCTCCAGATATGGTGAGTGCATCATTTACTTACTGATATTGTCTTATTTTGTGTTGCATTTCTGACGATAACAAACCGATAATATTTCCTGACATAGGCCTACTATCGGTTATCAGAAAATATCAGAAAACGGAGAGAAAAAGCAGGATCGCATGAGGACGCGTTTGTTAACTTAACATAAAGATCCAGATATCTGATCAAACGCGGATAAAAAAAAAAGTTATCTTAGGAGAACAAGTTTTTCCCTTTTATTGTGCTTTATTAAATGAAACGAAAACACTGATCTGTGAAGGACCTAATGAAACATCATACATTTATCTAGAACCATAGAGCAACTCACGATCCATAACCATATTTTTAAAAGAGTGCAGCTACAGACAAAATAATACAGGGCTAGATTTAGTGCACAATATTGTATGAACAATACACTAAATGTGTCATTATTCATATTCTTATTTTTATTCATATTTCATAGTTTCACATACATAAATGATAACGATAATTTAGATAATGCTTGTTTGATTTGAGTTGACACAAACACATTAAAGATGTCCCACACACTTAAAAATGAAGACGGCTCTTAAATGTTTTTTAGTTTCAGAACTTTCTTTCATAACAAAAAGTATAGGCCTATTTGAGTTGTTATACGGAGATCAGCACCAAGCATCTAAACACAGAATAATAATCTCGATTTACAAACAGAACCCTTTACACAAACACAATTTAAAAAGTGCTAAAATCTGAGTAGTTAAAGGTGAGTTTGTAGGTCATTCAGCTGTTAAGCATGTGAAGACATTAGTGCTTCCATCAGACATGCTTCTATTTGTAATTTGTAAGCACCTCTGTTTTTATAGTGAGACACAAAAAAATTATGGATAACAAAAACACATCCCTATCCTATGAAGCGGATATATAATACCATCAAATATTGTCATCGGAGGCACTTTCCCCATCAAAAACTCATTTGGTCAAATAAATAAAGTGTAATGAATATTGTTCATATTTTTGCTTATATTTTGGGAAGCTAAACATGATTTTAATGTATTCTCTTGCTGTGAAATGCTGCTTCCGTTTAACTACCTGGCATTTATAACGCAGTCGAGTCTCTGAAGGAAAAAGGCCCCCTCTATTATTAAAGACCAAAGAAACTTGAGTGCTTTACAGAACCATCTTCTTAATAGTGTAAAGGCTCTTGAACAAAACACTTTGATTTTCATATCTAAACATCTGTGTAATTCTTCATTTAATTTATCCACATCGTTTAAACACTGAGTAGTCTTAGTTTGTGCATACGTGTCTATTAATGCGAGCAGAAATGTGGCTGTTTGGATAAAACAATGGCGGATGGCACGTCACGCTAGACGATTGCTCTGAAATGTTTAAAGTCGGGAAGCTAATAAGATTATTTTAGGGTGCCTTGCTAAGCGTTTTTCAAAGAGAAGCATTCATCATCATCATCCTCGAGAAGCTCTCACAACCCCCTGCTCAATACACTTTCACCAGAACGCAGGTCACTATTGCACAATTCATCCATCCAGATCTGCAGTGCTAAAGTTAAAGCGACCCGGTATCGGATTCTGAGATCCAAAACCTGATGTAATACTGATCCTAAACTTTCTCAACTGGAGTGAATCTACCACCGCCATGACTTTACGCCACAAACAAGTCCAAGAAATATTGCCTCATGCACGGCAACTCTGTGGATTCTGTTTTTCTAACATGGCTACGATAAAATGAATAATATTTCTCATTATAAAATGCACTATTTTTGTCTTTGGTAACTTATATTGTGAATATGATGAACATTCACTATCTCACACTGCTGGTTCTTAGACAAAAAAAACCTAAAAGAACAAAAAAGCACTTCATTATTAAATTATTTATATTAAATTTGGTCTCCCGCTGCTGACTCTTTAATCTGTTCACACTTGATTCCTCTTTAAAAGAACCAAACTCAAACCTATCCAAACATGGACGGAGTGAAAATGAACCCCATTCTCTTTTCATTCAATGTCAGATCTCTTATTCTCAGTATCACCATGTGGATTTGCAGTACATGCATGCAATAGACGACGTGAACAATGCAGCACATGCAGATATTTTTATTAATTAAAACCAATCCTTTTGCATTTTAATAATCACGCTCGGTTGAATTAGTTTGAAATCAGACCCATTCTTTTTTCCACACCAAAAAATGTTGGACGCACGCATCAAAGGTCACGTGCACAGGGGCAAGTTTGATTTAACGCTCTCGTTTCCAGTGTATAATAACACCAGGTCTCATTCTGAGCCCGTCATGGTTCTGATTAGTAACTCTAATAAATTGTGAATAAGCTGCACAATTCCTGGTCGAAAGCGAGGCCTGAGTTCCCCACCCTGAGCACCCCCTCCTAAGAAAACACAAATTAATTCCTAAAGTCCTCTGTAGCCAAAGGTTTCTGGAATGATAAATATTTTCATAGGAAGCAAGGCTCTTCCTGAGTTTATCGGCGCTCGTTTCATTATGGGCCGGCCGGCGTTAACCCCTCGGTTTGGAGGCCTTGAACTCTGCTTCTGCTTTGAATCGTCAACCGATCCTCTGCTTCCAGATGGAAGATAACCTCGGTCGTAATGAGCTAAATATTTAGCTAGCGCCCACAGAGGTGTTCCCGGAGTCTCGTGAGTCTTGTGCAGCTGAATGTGATCGGTAGTGAAAAGCCGTTGTCGCTTTTGCCACATCATCACAGTGGCTCTGAGGAATTCTCTGAGAAAAGAGCAAAACCTATAATGCAAATATAGGAAAAGCAGCAGGATTAAACAGTGCAACAATCTTAATACAACTCAAGCATCACTAATAGTGTCGCTCATACTCAGAATTAGAAAAATATTGATGCATTTGTAGTCTTTTCCTAAAATGTATACAGGAACGCTTTAGTAGAAGAGTTACGGTCTGGGGCCCGACTTCACGTAAAGCCTGGCTTTGATCAGACGCCGCTGGAGAACTAACCGTCTTTGATTACAACCAAACCTCCTTTTGTAAAGCTAAGAAACCGTTGTGGTCAAATGTTGAATGTTTTCGTGTGATTTGCGTTATACTGAAGAAGGTTGAATCACTGACTGTTCATTAATTTGGCTTTTCACAGTGAAGGAGAACATGGAAATATCAGAGAATTTTAGAATTGTGATTGGAAGAAAAAAAATATTTCTATAGTAAGAAATATTTTAAATGTTAAAATATTTAATCAGAAATCTCTCTGTGAACTCTATGAATTAGTATGATTGTTTTTTTTTAATATGTCGTCTAGTAATAATGATCAACGAGAAAAAGTTACAGAAATTCATTGGTCAAAAGGTGCAGGAAACATGAATGATGTTTGAAGTAAACGTGAGCACTGCTTACTTGTGCAAAACCACTGCCATGATGCTAGGGTGTTGCTATGACGCTGCCATCATCTGGGTGGTTGCTAGGTGGTTGCTTCCTGCTCAAGTGAAAAGTCTCTGATATTCTGGTCTGTACTCGGCTATATTCACCAATGTCATTAAGTTATTATCATTAACCAAAATTATAAGCAATGGTAATAATGACAAATGACAAAATATTGTGTGCATGGAGAGATTTCGCATGTTAATGTGAGTAGGAAGCAACACACAGTTTTGCAGTTTCCTTTCAATCAGAAACACACACACACACACACTGACACACACACACACACACACACACACGGTCATCCAAACCCCTCCTTTTCCCTACAGTCTCATTCTTTCACCAAACAGCAGCTGGTTCTTCAGCTATTGCCAACCTCTAGTCCTTATCTTATATCTTAGAGAGACACACACAAACACACACACACACACACACACAAACACACACACACACACACACACACACACTTGCTGGCAGACATGAGCATCACATGTATCATTGTCATGGAGTCATAAAGCAAAGTGGTGTGTGTGTGTGTGTGTGTGTGTGTGTGTGTGTGTGTGTGTGTGTGTGTGTGTGTGTGTGTGTGTGTGTGTGTGTGTGTGTGTGTGTGTGTGTGTGTGTGTGTGTGTGTGTGTGTACATAACTATTTTTTAATGTAACATTTGTAACCAGAAGTGACCAAAACCTGACAAAATCTCCCAAAACCTCCTTTTATGGACGTCCTCATTTGTAAAACTGGTATAAAAATAAAAGTAATTAAAGGCTTTTCTAAAAATGTAAAAATGTAGAGTTTTGTGTGATAGGGTTAGTGTAAGGGGATAAAATACAGTTAAAAACCATTACATCTATGGAATGTCCCCATGACGTGTGTGTGTGTGTGTGTGTGTGTGTTCCAGCTGCTGTAATCCAGTGAATTAAATACTTGCATATGAAAGGTGCTTAATTTGGAACTTGATGGATGCAAACCAAAAAGTAGCATTATTCATCCAACAAATGAAGGCTGATATGAAAATAACATCATTACAGTGCTGACTGTCTAATGGCACCCAACTAGAACTTGGACGTTTCAACCATCGCACCACACATGCACTGTTATACCTTTCAGCCCTAATATAAATAATGATATTGAGATTTCTTTTTAATAACACTAATTGTATTAACGGCTCAAGCAGTTGACAGGCTAGAACAACAAAACTCAACACCACAGTGAGTAACACGACATCAATCAACATGTGAATGAGAGATTTTCTTTCTCATAATCAATTTCCAAAGGTGGCGACTGAAAAACTTGGATCGTATACAATCTAAACAAATTAGGTGTCTTGAATAAGCTGAAAGGTTCCTCCTCTCTGCCTGTCGGGCGCGTTTACACACGCTAACAGCCCTCGGGGCGAAGAAGCAGGACATTTTTCAACAGGTTTCTTTGATGAAGTCATATATCATTCAGTGACTGTCCACAACAGTGTAAGTTGTGAGTGTTAGCATAGGCAGCTTACCGTGTCTCAAGGTTGAAAGTTCAAGACTATAACTGAATAAACTACTTATTGTTCCTGGGTTGTGCTTTCATTATGTAGATGGTGCAAGGCTGTTTTTCAAGTCTTGAGGA